CCGGTGAAACCGTTCCGTTTCTTCTTCCAATCGCACCGCACTGCCCACACACGGCGCGAGGCCCTTGCCGAAGCCTTCCGCGCCATGAGCACCAAGGTTTGGCCTTGGCAAGGAGCAACGACACTACTCATAGAAGGGGAAAGGCTTTGGGGAGCAATCTGCAGAGAAAATCCAGCGCATCGGTCGATCCATCATGATCCTATACTTGCTTTAAAAAATAGAAATAAAATTGCCAGGGTGCATACCAGATTGTTTTCAACAATTAATCCATTGATGGGATCTCTTCAAGTGACTGTTTCACGCTTTGAAACGCGTATGCACGAACGGCGGTCTAGTTTTGAGCTGCGTCAGTCTTGAGCTGGTCGATATATCTGTGCTGTAGATGCTCTGCAGACTGGCCGCTGAGGAATCGAAGCTTTTGGAGGGGTAAGCAAATGTTCTTCAGGGCAAACTTCAGGTACATCACAACATGATCCCAAAAAAGACTGAAAGTTGGTTGATGGGTTTGGGCAACGCTCAGCAGCTCTAAGCCTGCAGAACTCACACCGACATTCCATCATCCCATGGCATCCCAGACAGTAAATATGGTAAATGTATCTTTCAAGATCTTTCAAGTATATATTTCTATAGTTTATTGCGCTACCATGCAAACAATATAAACACTGGTGGTAAACTTGGATTGGTTGACTATATATGTGTTACTGTAAAACACCGGGATGGTCTGGACATATGCCACTTCCTAAATGCGAAATCTGGCTGAGGGACTTGCAGTACCCCATTCAAGTTGTTGACAACTTGACCCCCAAGCATGCCTCTAACAGCTATAAAAGTCGCACCCGGGTGACATCGGTGATATCAAGGTGACGCTGCTGCTTCAGAGACAAAAAAATCCAAAGCAGCTTGCCCTGACATCCTGAGCTGAGTTTGCATCCCCAACAAATCCCTGTTCGTCGCCAAGTCGATTTCCTCATTGTCTTCGTGCAACTCATCCAAGTAGAGTGCCTGGGCTGACGACGTTGAAAGCTTTAAGAAGGCTAGGTGGCTCATCAAAAGGGGATTCCTGCGTGGGAAAGCAAAAGCTCTATGGGCTGAGCTGGGGACAGGTTACTAGCATCTGACCTGCCGCAATGGCTACCAGCATCTTGAAGACCCATGGACATTTGTATCGAGAAAACATATAGCTGGTAAAGTCTTTCCCCGAGGCTATGTGCTTCACCCCGCAGCGACATGTTGTCCAGTAGATGTTGAGCTTGCATGTCTTTGAGTCATACAGCTGTTCCCGGATTGTGGTTCTGTGTTCATGTGTGTCTTCTTTCATATACTTGAACTGCAGTGCGAACTCCTTCATAACGTAAATTTGTTGCGTGCTGTTTGTTGGTGTTTTTGGCACAGTCTCATCCTCAGTGTTGGCGTTCTTTGTGCTCTTGCTGTTGGCTTCAGCTTTGTCATTGTGTTTCCTCTTAACTTTGGCAGTGGAAGCTGAGGCTGCCGAAGGCCCTGATTTGCTGCCGACCTCCCACCACCAACAACCATGTTCGTAATCCCACTCCCAATCCGCACAGTACATCTCTTCCCACCCAGCAGGGTAGTCCTGAGATTCTGCGACAGCCTTTGACGAGGTCTTGCGTTTAGATGCTTTCACAGTCTCAAGATCTTTCTCAATGTCAGGGTTTTCTGTTTTCTCTTCTCCCTTCTTTCTCTTAGTGCCACTTTCTTCTGCTTTCTTCTGTCTCTGCCCTTTCTTATCGCTAGTCTTTTCTCCCTCCGTCTCAAGGCTCTTTCCTCTTCCCCTGCCACCCCGGCCTTTGCCACCCCGGCCACCCCGGCCCCTGCCTCTCCCCTTTCGATTCCGGCCCCCTTCATCCGGATTCGACTTTTGCTTGAAGCGCAGCTGCTGGTCCCTGCTAACAGCGTCCACCTCAGGCCCGCGCCAGAACGCGCGCAAACGGGAATTGTCTTAAGCTTACTTGCCAACACAATTGGGACATACGGTGACATACGGACACGGTGACATACGGATCTTAAAAGACGAAACACATCCCGCATCCCCCACCATTTCACAAATGAACCCACCTCAGGCTCTGAGTCAGTGAAAACTTCCTCACCGGTTGGCTTAGTCAGGTCTTCCTGGTCTTCCTTGACAGGTTCACCAGCCGGTTCATCTTTTGGGGCTGGCGCAAGTGATTCCTGTTTTGGGGCTGGATCCGTAGGTGGTTCGTTTTTGTGGGATGGATCTGTCGATCGTTCCTCTGGTGGGGTGGTGACTGGCTCCGTCTCAAGTGGCTTGGTCAAGTTCTCAACAGGTGGTTCGGCTGCTTGAGCTGGCCCCTCCTCCGAGCCAAACTGAAGAGTTGCTACGGGGTCCCTGCCAGGCTGATGCTTTTGCTGGTATTGTTCACGACGTTCGGCGACTGTAGGGCTTGGCGATGTGGTCGTAGGAACACGCTCCGCAGGAGTCGGGGCTTCAACAATGTCGATTGGGAGTGTCTCAACGTCGTCACCTGTAAAAGGCTGAGAGTCATACACAACCACCACTTTTCCTATACAGGGAACTTGGACAAGTTTACTCAGAAGGACTATAGACTAAATGCATGAAAATGCCTTCCCTATCCAATCACAAAGCTTTCTTTTTCAACACCCCTGCCTGAACATGGCTGGGCAGGAAGACTTGCCACAGGTTGTTGGATAGCAGTTGTAGACTTCAATGCCTTCTTGGCACGAAGCCTTGTCTTGGCACGATGAACAAAAGTTTGTCCCAAATAAATCAAAATTGAACCTGGGCGGAGAAAATCACACCAAAAGTATACTTTAGAAACTCAATGCTTTAGTATTGCAAGTGACTTCTCCAATTCCGCAAGGATCCTTGCGCGCTTCTCATCCACAGTCTCCTGCTTCCCACCTGGGGACGGAGCATTAGAACGAGAAAGCAGTTGATCGATGTTGATTCGTTTTTACCATCGAGGTTTGGTTATTAAACATTGGCTTTACTGAAATGGAGGCGTTCTAAACCTTCAAACTTGGTGGCCTCAATGACAAATCCCCAGCAATCCCCGGCCTCCAGGAGCTGGTGCTTCAGGAAGGGCTGCTGGTTCCGGCGCTTGAGGAGCGGGCTCGGCAGCACTGGGTTTGGGGACGCTGTTGGCCGAAGCTGATGGCTGCGCACCACCAGTCGCAACAGGATCATCAGCTTTTTCGCTAGCAGATTCCGATTCCAAGCTTTCTTCGTACGCATCTTCATCGTCATCATCCTGTTTTCGTGAGCGTGATTGGGCATTTTGACTGCGAGGGTGTTTGGTTTTCCTGAAAAATATCACAGCCTTGTTGCGATCCCCATACAAAGGTAAACGGTTTGCAACATGAACATGGCAGGATTGTTTAATAGACAGTCCTCGGAAGCTTTGTCCCCGTCGTTGGCAGCTTCAGCCTTCTTCAGCCGGATCTTCTCTCTAATGGCATCGGCTTCCGCCTCAAACAGGAAAGCCCTATATGGACAAAAAAATATCGCACACAATTACAATGGAATCAATATCCCACAAGGGTTTGCAAAGTTTTTGACCACCAATCAAACTGATAAAAAAACAAAAAGGTGTTGCAGCTTTTGAGCAAAGGTGCTTGGAGTGTAGGGTCCAAAATCAAGCAAAGGTTTTGAAAGGCTTCTACCTGCGTCACAGCGGTATTGACTTTTAATATAGTGGAAAGCCAAAAAAACGTGTATGCGAAAGTGTTACCAATGTAAGATTGGGTTTACCACACAGGATCTCGACCCTTAAACATGGATGTGTGACAAAAATATACATCCCGCCTTGCTCAGCTCATGGCGGCGAACTTTCATTTTGATGAACCCCAAAAGCTTCCTGATGTGCCACGTGTCTTGCTCCACATTGTGTAGGTCCCCAGGCTCCAGCTTGTTCATTGTCAAGAGCATGGTGATTTCCGCTTGGGTTGCTTCTACTGGTATGATGGGTCGGTGATCCGTCACGGCCATCCTTGTCAAGAGTGGTGACAAGATCTCCTGATTCATAATGCACGTTTTGATATCCTCACACCGTTTCCCGTCGGACAGGTGCAAGAAGCTCTTTCCAGTGCGCAAGCGACCCCGAACAGTAGTATCAGCATCCCACTCTCCGGCCATCCCCTTGACATCAAGCAGGGGTCCCTTCATCCGTTTTGACGACTTCATTGGGTCAGCCATGGGCAAGACACTAGTGAAGGCAGTGCCTTCACAAAAAGGATGGGGTGATTGGGCCAAATGCCTTTAGGTTCGAGGTGGTTCAACCAAGGTGCCCAAACACCATGAAGCCATCCAAATCTGACCCCCTGGCAGGACTGAGAGACCGGGCTGGTGCTTCACATTCTCGAAGTCCAGCATGATCAGCATGGAAAGAAACCGTGCGAGCGCGGGGCAGAACGGTTGAAGTGAGGTCAGAGAGTCAACCGTGGGTTTTGGAAGGACATTCATGGCCATTGAAATCCATTGAACCTAGTCGCACCGCCTCACCTATCATTGAGGCCTACATCCATTCCTGAATATTCGTGATCAATCTCCATACGACATGACTTTTGTGTTTGATCTTGGAAGTTTCATACATCAATACCTTCTCAGACCATGTCAGAGCCATTGAAAGGCTCTGGATGAGGAAAACACGAGGTTTTCCAGGAATACCCGATGTATGCCTGCATGTGTCAGAAAACACGAGGTATTGGTTTTGACCCTGCAAATTGTTAGGGTCTGGGTGTACTAGGTATATATATATGTTTGATTTTTAGATAACAAAAAACAATGTACATGTGTTTTCCTTTGTTTTGTTTCTTTTTTTCTATGTACATCTATAGATACTATTGTTGTTTACTGCTGCACTCCTGGAAACTGGTGCTGTTGGCATGTGGAGCTTGGCAAATCTTCGAATTTGGATGGTTTATCACGTGTCATTAAATGCTCCCTGTAGCAGAATGGCTTCACATCCTCGTGAATTCAACCAATCCCTCATCCACCGGAGCAGGATCAGCGATTTCGAGGCTCAGGTGGCCGCACAAATGCAGGCGAGCGCCCAGTGACAGGGGATCACGTTCATCGATGGTCCAAAAGGGGTTGACACATTGCAGCCCCTACCTACCCCCCAAATAGAAAAATAGATCCCCCGTAAGAATGTATTGGGAACCCTTTTTATCTATTTGGGGGACCACGTTTTGGGACCGTTTCGGCAACACGAAAGGTGACACCAAGTGTTGCCCACTTTATCAGCTCGATTTTCACGTGGAGCGTTTCACGTCGTCACTGGTCTTCATTGGTCTTCTTATGATGTCTAGCTGTATTTTTGGGAATCGGAATCGTCATTTGCCCCCAGGATGGGGCTCCCTGCAAATCCATAGTTGACTCAAAGACCAAGGGATGTTGATTTGTGCAGTGCCAAGGCACCATGTATTGGTTTGCATGTGGTTTGCTGGGTGGTTTCTTGGGTTACTTGAGCTCGAGTGCTTTTTACTGACCCCGCGCTCCCGCCTGTCCCGCCTGTCCAAGCCTGGAAAGCACAAGTCCTTCAGTGAACAGCCCGGCCCCGGTGAACGTCTTCTGCCATGGCGATGTTTTGCTCGTGCTGCGCTGCCTCGGAAAACGTCGGTGGGGAACCGCAGACCGTGCGCCGCGCAGGAAGTCAACGCGGGGGTGTTGGATGGAATTCGATCTCTCAGCGTTTAGCGGACCCGACTTCAAGTGCCCTAGAACAATGGGACATGAATGGACAGGACCGTACTTGTGCCCATTTTCGAATCGACTCCGAGCCTGGGATTCTGAATTCTGTGGGCTGTTGGTGAGGACTTGAATGAAAACAGACGGCACCTTGAAGCACTGATTGCGCTATACTTGGTTGGCTTCAGAGTGTTTGGGAAAGCGGAAGTTATTTTGAAGAGGCAACCCTCCCTTGACCTAGATCCAATGCACGTGCCTGGATACAATGTACAAGCACAACCATGTTGGAGAGTAGACGGTCATTGAATTGGCTGTCAAGCATCCTTTTCAAGTGAGGTGCCGAGAAAGGCTTCTTTCTAGAGCTTTTTTCAGTGTCATCAAACGTCCACAAATAGGAGCTTCTTGGTGACCTAAAAGCCCTAAAAGAACCTGGCCGACCTCCGTTGAGAATACGGTGGCTGGGATGGGTTTTGAGGGGTCAGTCCCTACCTGCCTTTTGAGGATATAGGGGTAGGATTTGTAATTGAACGGCATGGTCGCCAGATAGGATCTCACCAGATATGGTCTTTGATGACAATGGACAATGCTTTTGCAGATGGGTTTCAATCAGTATATGTAGGATTATGCCTTATTACCAGCAACCGCCGGCAAAAGGCTATGTAAAAAACGGCTATCACTTGAGTTTCTATCGACATCAGTCCTGCCACCAGTCCTGCAACCTGCTTTTTGGCCTGGTTGGAGGGATATGGGCCACACTGCCACACCACTTGATGGCCACTCCACTCATCTCGATGCCCAGCCTCCAGCTCTCTAGTGACATCAGGCTTTGAGGAGGTGGCCTCCGCAGCACCTGCCCCAGTGCCACTTAAGGAGAGCCATCGATGCTGATGGCAAGCTGGGAGGGTTTTGGGGGGGCAACGTTTAGGAACCAAACATCTCAGATGTTGATTTCTTTCAGATTTTGAAGAGAAGGATCTTGGTGGATTTCATGACTTGCAGGTGGCCAAGTGGCCTGATTCCCTAAAAACACCACCGGACGGGTTTGTTCCAGGGTCGACCGGATGACACCGGTTTGCTGAGGACTCAGAAAAATGTGTTCCTGGTTTTCTGAAGGTGATGGTTTAGTTTCCCCATGGATGAATCCCCTTCTGCGGAATATGCTTTTTTCCTCCAGGTTCCTTAAGCAAATCCAAAGTTTGGTACAAGCTTCGAGGTGTTTCCTTCACACCGGGCCCACATGGAGCAAGTGCGGTTCCAGAGAACCTGCTTCGAGGTGTTTGTTGTGAAAGCCAAGGCTCCAAGCAGGTGAATAACAAATACCCTTTGTATATAGGATTACTGCAGTCAGTCGACCGACGAGAGGTGTTCATAGTGATATATAGTGATCCACCTACTAGACTTTATGTAATTGTCCATGCTGTCATATGCATGGTCCCACTCCAGCACAGTGCTTCCCAATGGGCCATCGCTACTAGGGGCGGGTCCGGCCCAACCTCTTCCTCTCACTGCGGGGCGCGACCGCTCAGTGCACCGCCCAGGAGGATCCAGCGCCGGAGGCGGTGATGAAGTCCCCGGTGCCCGAACCCACGGAGACCGAGCCTGCGGAGGTCCAAACCGAAGCATCCAAACCAGGGGGGGTGGAGAAGAAAGCGTTTGGGCTCCAAAGTCTGGTAGGTTGACCTATAGTATATCCTGGTATGTCAACCAAGGTTTGGTCAGAGGCAAACGGAAGGGTAGTGCACACAAAGGGTTTTGCAAAAACCTATTCTACTAACATCGTGGAAGGCGTGGGACATTCGTAGAACCCAAGGCTATTCGTGGACAGTTCGTGGAATGGTGGGCCAGTAGGAGAACTGACTGCAACGAAATTCCAGAAACCTTCGCAGAACTTCGTGGAATGTATTTTTGATGCACTAACTTCGTATAAGCGATTTTTGCTGACCCCCTTTCTCCACACCCCCTCCATTTAGCCTATATTTGGGTTTTGACCCACATCCAGAAGTTTGCAAGTGGTGGACAGTTCTTGTAGCAGAGCTCTTTTGTAGGAGGGTCAGATTCCTCGACCATTGGAGAGAAGGGACAACCACGAAGTTCATACATTATGCCTGTCCGTATAATCTATTATATTTACCTGTAACAGTCGGTAAACAATTTGTATTACATTTTTTCGAGAAAGGCCTTTAGTTACTAATCGTCATCATCCATGGCAATGGGATAGACAAAAGTCATACTCGTGTTACATGTTCATGTTTCGCTCTATTCAGCCTTTTTCAGCCATTCAGCGCCCATGGCCGACAACTGACATCACCGAGGCTTCAGTGACCTTCAGCTTTGAACTGCCCGAGGGCGGTGTCAAGGCGGGCGTCTTTTGGGAGGATGCTGGAGGTGTCAAGATGTCAGGTTGCGCTATCGTGCGTGCTGTACTTGAAGGATGGAGATGGGAAGTTGTAGGAATAAGTTGTACTGAATACCTCAAATCAAGCTGCTCATCCCACAATTTTTCCATACAGACTTGAACCAGTCCCACATGTCATATCATATCACTGATCAGTTGATCCTTGACATTTCCGGAATGCAGAACTTCTTTGGACAGCTGCATTCGCTGTTTGTTTTTGCTCGTTTCTTTCCTGAGCTCACTCAGCATCCGATGCTCCCGATGCCGGAGTGCCCAGCATATGTGGCACCCGATGGGGCCAAAAACCGATATATTATACATACAAGGATGCTATTTACCTAGCACTTCCAATGGGTGCCCTGTCTGGGAGACCTACTGTATAAGTACGGTAGGGTTGTCCATTGGCGACCCATTGGAAGCAGCTGGTAGGTGGAGGCCATCGCAAGTAGATTGGAGGCCATCGCTACGAACAAGAAGCTACTAATTCAATGCATTTCTTTGCGCATGGAGCTCACGACTCCGAGCGCGGAGGTCCCAAGGATTTCACCGCGGCGTCGGCGGATGGTGCTTTCCACCGCCGGCTTGCCTACGTCCTTCAGCCATGAAGCTCTCACACTGGAGGTGTGACGGCCGCCGGCCTCACCAACTTGTGGGACAGATGTGGCTTTCCCTTGAAGTCCTCACTACTTCAAGAGCACGAGAGCTTCTTTGCTGCATTTGCGAGGCGGCTTGATCCAACACTTGTCACACTTGATGCAGCTGGTCCACAATTTCCAGCAGTGTCCTTCTTCAGCATCGGCCGTGCTTTCCACCATGTCCTGCAGGACAGCTTTCAAAGGCAATTCAGGGGAGCCCGCATAACGCTCAGCATTTTTCGGCTGACCTCCTCATGAGCGGAGCCCGCCTTCATTCTCCTTTGCTACAGCCTGCGCTTGATAATATTTTTTGAACAGCTCGCAATGGTGCTCTTCAGCCTGATGGCTCTTCTGAGCGGGCTTGAAAATCCTCCCACCGTTTAGCTACCATGCTTGGGCCGCCGAGAGGAGGCGGGTGGGACCGCCGTCAACCAGGTTTGCACCGCCGCTGGCCGCTGGCAAGCTGATCTCGGCATGCTCTTCATCCGCCTCATCTAGTTCATCAAGGATCTCCAAGGGGGCATTCTTCCTTTGGCGTGGCTGAGGCCATGGCATGCCATGGCCTGTGCCAATTGGTGCTGCCAGGCTCGGCTCACCCTTGATCTTGAGGCTTTTGACAGGGACATGACACGCTCTCAGCCTTCTCCACTACAACCTTGGCCAAGGTTGTGCCACAGATCTGCAAGCTCAGCGCCCTTCATGCTGCCCAAGCATTTGCTTTCGGCCCCGTTGTGGGGAACCTTCACATTGATGACCTCCGGTGACCGGCCTTCAAAGGCCTCCAGTGGCCCACGCCCGGACCTTGGACTGATTCGCTCTCTCTCTCTCTCTCTCCCCCTCCTACCCCTTCCTTCTTTGGGGAAAACATGTGTTCCAATCCAAGTGAGCCTGACTCGAAGATCGGTCACCCGTTGTCACCCTGTGACCATGTCTTCCACGTTGCTCGGAGTGAGAAGCACGCGTTGGTCACACCTCGCGTCGCTTCAGTCACAGTCGTTGTGCCATGTCATCGACCGATCCGGAGCCCCATAACTTGTGGAAAAAGGTGACGCGTTGGAAGATGAACCACATGATGGAAGCTGATAAAGATTGGTTTAGTGGAGGACACTTCTCCTCCGAAGGTCCATTTTTCAAAAAGAATATGTTAAGTAAAGAATATCAAAAAAGGACGTTAGGTAGGGCCCCAGGAAATTCCAGCAGAGATGGGATTTGAAAATCCTTGTGCCTAAGGTATCAAGACACGTAGGCGCCAGGATTCAAAAAAACACGTTAGACTACAGGATTTCACTAAAGCTGCAGGATTTCATAGAGATATTGGAGAGGA